CGCCCCTATATGCTCCCAAAGCCCCCCCCCCCCCCGAGTGTGCCAAACATCAAAGATCCCAATGGAGCATGGGCAGGTGAACATGTGCCTTGTCTTGGACTCAGTGATGGCCTCTTCTTGAGCATCCTCACTGTGAGGCCGTGGCTACACCTTGCAATCTCCATTCAGTACAGTGGAAAGCCCACTCTCTGCCCTTATAGGCTCATGGTGGCCGTGCCTTTCAAATGACTGTATCTAGAAATGCCCACGATGCACTGCTTCAGTAAGTATCTCATGTGTATGAATTAGGGATGCACCGATACCGATACTAGTATTGGTATCGATGCCGATACCGAGTATTTGGGTGAGTACTCGTACTCACCCAAATGCTACGATACCTATCACGAGTACTTCCTGTATCAGGAAGCCGGGCAGCGCATCATTACACGCTGCCCGGTTTCCTGATTGGCCAGGAAACGGCTCCATGCTCTCTTGTCACTTGTGATGAGAAAGCATGGAGCCGACTTCCCGGCCAATCAGGAAGCTAGCAGATTGGTCAGGAAGCTAGCAAATCTGGAAGCCGGGCGCCATGTAATGACGCAGCACCCGGCATTCTGATTGGCCAGGAAGCCGGCGTCATGCTCCCTCGTCATCTCATGAATCATAATATTAAGAAAGTGACCCTAAAGCATTAGTTTGTATTGCTTTAGAAAAAATGTGACCTGTCCCTTTAAGAAAAAGTATCGGCAATTGGTATCTGCGAGTACTTGATCAAAAGTATCGGTACTCGTACTCGGTCTTAAAAAAGTGCTATCGGTGCATCCCTAGTATGAATATACTGTACATGCGCTAGGTGCTGCTCCAGGTCAGTCCACCTAAATGTGCCGCCAGGGTGTGTTCACCGGCTCTTACCTGTCCATATAAAACACTGAAGATGTAAGGAATCGCGGCGCTCCATCAGTATGTTCAGTATCCAATGTATTTGCAGCGGCAGTTCAATGAGTCCCCTCAAGCCCTAATTAAGTATCCAAGCTGCGATGAAGGGGGGGAGGGGTGTTGTTTTGTCCCCGAAATGCGTTGGCTGTTTTATGTAAACATATTACAAACAATTAAAGGAAACTTAAACTCTTTCATCACTTGGTTTGGGGATCCTTTTTGTATTACTAGTCAGGGGTAGGCAAGCTCGGCCCTCCAGCTGTTGTGGAACTACAAGCCCCATGAGGCATTGCAAGACTCTGACAGTCACAGGCATGACTCCCAGAGGCAGAATCATGACGGGATCTGTAGTTGCACCACTGCTGGAGTGCTGAGGTTGACTCCCCCTGCTCCAGTCATTTCCAGATACACACTAAGGGGAATCTTGCTGAGAGGTGCAGGACCAGAGCCAGGGAGCTCGATGAAGAATGAGGTTTTTCTTTTTGAATAAAAACATGGCGGGGTATTAACCCTTTGACACTTCATCTGGCGGTTGCCAGGAGAACGGTACTTGCCTGACTGCATTGTGCCAAGTGTAAAGTTTGGGGGGGGGGGATTGTGGGGGAGGGGTGGTTTTTCAGGGGTTGAGCTCCGCCCCTTAGTTCCAGAGAAGGGAACTCTTAAGGCATCAGCACACCAAGACATTTTGGACAATTTCATGCTCCCAGCTTTGTGGGCGGAGTTTGGGGACGGCCCCTTCCTGTTCCAACATGACTGCGCACCAGTGCACAAAGGTCCATAAAGACACGGATGGGGGAGTTTGGAGGGGAGGAACGTGACTGGCTGCGCAGAGTCCTGACCTCAACCCCATAGAACACCTTTGGGATGAATTAGAGCGGAGACTGCGAGCCCCTCCCCCAACATCAGTACCTGACCTCACAAATGGTCCAACATTCCCATAGACACACTCCTAAACCTTGTAGACGCCTTCCCAGAAGAGGCGGAGCTTTTATAGCGGCAAAGGGCGGAGCTAACCCAATACTGAACCCTACGGACTAAGACTGGAATGTCATTAGAGGGCGGAGCCAACCCAATACTGAACCCTACGGACTAAGACTGGGATGCCATTAAAGTTCATGTGCGTGTAAAGGCGTCCCAATACTTTTGGCAATATAGTGTATCTTTCATCTTAAACAATCTTCTGCGGTTGTCCGGGGGGGTCCGATCTGTGCCGAGAGAATACCGCGCCGTCCTGGTCTCCTGCTGCTGCTGTTCCCGGAGCTCGCCCGGCGTGGAAACTGCTCCGCGCACCAAAGCGACGGTAATTGGCTCTGACAGCCATTCTGAAGCCTGCTTTCCCTGTGAAAGGCGATTACAAGCGCGGCGAGCGGTATGGTTTCCATAATCCCCCGCGGCCTGTCAGACGCTTATTAAGAGAACATGTGACCCTCGTCCTGAACACCTTTGTACGTCCCCCTCATTCCTCACCCGGGGACACTTCAATGGGGCGCCAGGAAGGTATCTTTTTTTCGGAGCGGTCAGGAAACTCGAGTAATGTAAACAGTTACATTGTATCAAGTTGAAGTGCGCAGCGCTCGCCATGTTCCTCAGACATCTCTACTCCTGTAAAGGGGGAATTTTAGCCACATCTTCCTAATTTCAGACTGTACCTCTGTCTCCGGGGCAGGAAGTGAAGGGAATTCACCCTAATGGGGGGTCACAGAGGGGCAATAAAAAGGTAACAGAGGGTCTCGCCCTTCCACAGTAAAGGAAATCCTAATCAATAAAATTTTTAACACCATTCAAAGTTCATTCTCAATCTTTCTATATCTGCAGCTTTCATTAAACTAACCCCCCCCCCCCACTGTCTTTAAGCTGCCTGCCCACCAACATGCAGGAGAGATATGAATGCTGGGAGGGGCTCAGTTACAGGGTGTAAAAGAAAGAAAACCTAAATGTTGTCGTATGCGGAACCGTCACCTTTTGCATAGAGAAGTTCAGGATGATGATACGGACATTTTGTGAATACATTATTTGCATTATTATTACTTATTATTATTTATTATAGTCGCAGTGATGTCACGGCTGGTGGGAGGGGCCGGCAGAGTGCTGTACATGGCTTCCGGAAACACTTCTCGGCACCCTGGCCATAAGTTGGTATTTTGGGATGTCTGTCTCTTATCGTATCTCCGGCAGACACACGGAGGCGGCTTGTGATGGTCGGAGTCATTTCAGCGTTTTGCTTCTGCTGGGAAAAGTTATTTTTATTCCTCCAGTTTATTGGATGACTTGTAGACGGCGCGCAGAGCGTGACACAACACGGCGCCTTATCTGATCATGTCTGTACACGGGGGGAGGGGTCTGTGTGTTGGTTTAGGTTGTTTTTTTGGGGGGGTACTACAAGTCCCAGCATGTCCTGGCAGCCAGGAGGATGTCTCCAGACGGGACCTTCATTGTATAATATAT